TGTCATCCATCATTGATATTAAAAATTCGTGTCTATATACTGACGAGGCACGCACCATGTTTTGAAAGCGCATAATAAGTCACGTGAAGAGGACGAATTAAAGGCTGAATTGAAAGCTGACCTCTGACCTGTCATTTCTCTGCTCATGACGTGTGGTCACGCTGTGTTGATGCTGTTATAGCAACAACTTAATCAACAGCAAACATTTTTGCCTTTGTTCGTTTTTTTTCATGCCCTTTTAATTTTTACAATGCTTTTAAGATCAACAACCCAAAAAGTCTACCATTTCTACGGGTTTCGTACTGTGAAAGATATGCTTCAGAATGGCCTTTTTTGTATTTAGCTCACATTTTGACTGTTTATGTAAAATGATGTTCGTTCAGTTGAGTAAGCTCCATAACGGTCGTAAAATATACATGTAGAGTGAGGTTATAAGCTAAATTTAAGGAGACATGTCAAAACCAATGTCCAAATACCGTCGGGGCGATGAATTGGAACCATTAGTATACGCAGAAGGAACTTAATGGATGAGCTTCATAATGACAACGAGGAAATTATCTTGTCTAAAAGCCCAACAACACCGGATAATGTTTTATAGATGAAACCTGTAAGTGGTGCTGCGCCTCCATGCAACGCTCGATATGCATAATTCAATGCGTACACCGTAGTCTGACCTAAATTCCTCTAGCACTGCGCTGCGAATGTGCGGTATACCTTTGTTATACAGGGATATGCATTCAACAACTTATCAAGCTAATCGCAACCTCTATTGGGCTACACAGACGCAATAATATAAAATAATATCATGTGAACTCCGACTTCCAATAAACGTCGATAACAGACACCGCACAACGCTCGAGCACATCACGCACGCATCGTCCGTGTAGATACATTGGCGAAAATATTATTCAAAACCAATTGATCCCGACACCTTGTGAGTGTGTATGCATGCGCTGTCAAAAATAAACACGGGTCCTGTGCTAGATGTACGGTATAGCCCCGGGTATTCCAGAGACGGGTAAAGAGATATCTCGTGAATATTTCAACTCCGGTATCAATACATAATTTGTCTATACCCACTTCGTCACGGAGAATATGCCGAGTCCATGCACATTCCGCGGTTCACTTGCTTGTTAATGGCCCCTTTAGGGCCCCTCTTAACAGCCGATAACATACGGACAAATTGCCCCCCTTATCTGCTTTGTTTTTCAACAAGTCTTTTAAGTGGTTCTCCCGAGAACCTTGTTGTTTCTACTGTAAAAAAAAAAAAATAGAACTCAACAGGGTTGACCTCTCGTCTCGCGTGCGCGTTGGAGAACACACGCGAGATTTAGCGAGCATTGGACAGAGAACATAATCTTCGGGGTATATGCGGTGCGCCTATCAGCGCGGCTTCGTTTCCACTGGCTTCGAACAGGATAAACATATAATGAAACATGTAAAAAGTCTATATGATTAGGGATAGAAGACCAAGAAGAAGAAGAAGAAGAAGAAGAAAATCAGAACAAAAACAATGGCTTTTCTAGAAACTCCGGTTGTGAAGTGTCCGCCAAGATATCCCAGAAATAATGATCGTGAATGCTACCAGAAGTAGGAGAATATAAATGTGTAGATGACAATTTAGTTGCAAACCATGAGGTGAAATATCCAAATTTTAACTACAACGGTAGCCTAGATATACGTGACAAATACATATAACAGCACCACCTAGAGGCAGGTTGTGTCCAGCTACCTCTCTATAATCTTGCCAAGAAAATGCATTCCCCGATACCGGCTTTTTCTTGTGCAAAGTAGATGTGATATTTCACTGGCTCACGCGTGCCAATCACGCTGTTACCAAAATTCCATATTTAATGAGCTCTGTAAAGATTGATTGCTCCATGTACTGGTCCAATTCGTAGACTCTATCGCGCTTTCACAAGTGCCAGGTCGAAATTACTTCTTCTTTTTTTCCCTGCAACCAGGTATAGTCAACGGAATGGTTCTCGGACTTTACTTCCCTTAAGAAAAACACCTCCATAGCCCCGATTCTGAAATAAAGGGTGACATTTATTTGACCGAAAAGTAGGATTTGAATTTTAAATGCCAATAAATGGAGAAAATCACATGGTGGGGGAAAAGGGAACGGAATCACTGAGAGTCGAACCTTAGGATATAATTATCCAATATTATATTTATTTTTTTTTTAAAAAGGAGTATAACAGCTAGGCCACGGTGGCGCTCCGATCGCCACTCCAAATCTTAATTTTTATAAAGTCATATCAATTCACGTGACAACTTATTAAAATTACGTGATATGATTCACGCATGCGTATTATGCCGTGCAGAAGAATTTTCGCTGCCAGGTTATAATGTCCTGCAACTGCGACATCACGTTAAGCCATGAACGCATATCCGTACGTGCTCATCACCATGGTTTCATCACCTCGATGCTCCTCCGAACAAAAATGTGTACTTTCCCACAACAACAGTTTCTTAAGTTCAGGAAAATATCACATCCTGCGCTAAATTAGCCAGTATTGATAACTTCCATTATCATCACGCCGCGGGACCTCCAGATAGCACGAGATCTCGCGGCCCAGCCACTTTAATTCCCCCCTGTACTCCCCTGATGGTTTAGAACAAGCTCCCGGAGTCCTGGGGTTCAGCCGTGATCAGAGCGACTCCTGTCAGCTATGTGACTACCCTGCGCCCCAGGGGCATAGAGAACCTATATTTCAGCGCGTCAACATCATCATTTTAATCATCATGGGCAACATTGCGCATGCTGGAATTTTTGAGATCGTGCTGGCCGTGTGCAGGCGCGAAAAGAATGACAAAGAAGAAAACCATTCTGTTGGTGGACTCCCCAAATTTGACGCCAGAAGTGTGAACTAGATTTTTTCTCAGATGGAGACATTTGAATAATAATCCAATGGAAGTTTTTTAAACCAAAACAAACATATTTCTTATCAATAATAACCCAATAACCCAATAATAACCCAATAACCCAAATAGAAGTATTTTGTTTTCTATTTTATCACTATAAATCTTTAACAAAAAGTTTTAGAATTAGTAATGTTTGGAGTCCGAGAAATCTAGAAGTGAATTGATTAACTCTCTCACATTGTTTTTCAAATTTGGTGTGCCTTTTCTTACTGAAATCATGCAAATGGTTTCGACAATTGTTTAATATTCAAAACAAAAAAAGGGTATATAGGCCTAATGTTACCCTGCAATATCAGCGTCGTTATACATGTACAGCTTAAGCTTTACCAAGCATACTACACGTTGCTTTTTACTGGTAGCATATGCATCTCCCTTAAGATGTTTTCTCTTTTTTACGTCCAGAATTGTCGCATTTCTGGCTGACAAATGTTTCTAGAAGTCCCTTTTTATTCACACCACCGATGTAAGTTGTTGTATGCAGCTATCCGGGAGGCCGAGGCGATATGTCTCAACAACGATTTCGTCACGCGCTGTGTTATCCGCCGTTCGAATCGATGCAAAGACCCGCCGTTTTCCTGCTCAGTCTTGCAACCCAACACCTTAACGACCATTTATTACTTCCTGCGGTGTTTGGCCAGACACACATCAAGCGAACGTTTTCTGCCGATACTGTCGACTGTATTGATCCCAGAGACAATGTAATATTTCATCAGCGAACGTGATAAGCGCGCATTCGCTCCTTAACAAAAAGCTAGTCCGGTGGCGTACTCCTATTTTGGAACGAGGTCCGTTTGCGTGAATTGGACAACGGACATAAAATCGTCTGAGTGGTCTTCTCAAGCTTTTCAAGTTGTAAATAGACCTTATTCACTAAGCAGCCATTTTTGATCGTGTTCCCTGAATCTATTTTATAGAGTGTAAACTGTTGAATGGAACGGTGCCAGACTATGTTATGATTGGAGTGCATGCCAAGCCTCATATCTTTTTTTTCAACGTTTGCTCAAAACATTAGGGTACGTTTAGGGCCTAATCACACATTTTAAATTATTCATCAGAGCAGACTGGTATTAATTTGTATAACATTTAATTTCATTGCTTTAATTTCTACTCACAAGTTCCAAAGGTTAAGAGTTTACCTCGCTATCAATTCAAGATGGCTGACTCGTGAATAAAGTGTTTAAAAATATCCCAAACAGTTGAACGTTTTACTTTTGGTTGCTGCCTTTGTGTTATTGATATCACTTGAGCCGTTTGATTATGGTCCACTACATTAAGTATTATGGCTTGGTCAAGGTTAGTGTTGACATTGATGACGATTCACATTTTTTTAAAGGTAGCGGTGTCAATATAATACATGAGCCTCGTCCCAAAATTAATCGATCTTTGCTGGTCCCACAGGGTCAGCCTATATATACATGTATTACTCTTTATAATCCTGACTGACTGACTGACTGACAGACTGACTAACTCACTGACTGTCACTTGTCAAATAGACTTGCTTAAGCCTTACATTGGCCCAAACAATTACGCATCAGGGCCAGCCTAAGTGTCTTGTCCCTATCTCACTGACCCACTAAATTTAACTGTGGCTGGTGAATTAGACTTGCTTAAGCCTTACATTGGTCCAAAAAATAGACATTAGGGCCAGCCTACAGTCTCTTGTCCCTATCGCACTGGACTCACTTACTGAAATGTAACTGGTAAATTACCAGTGACTACCGGGATCAAATTGGACTGGGAGCATCTTTACTATAGGCTTGTCTAGTCTTTTTATTTTAACGGACTCGCATCTGTGCAGAAAATTCACAGCTTCAAAAAACGGAAACGTGCCGTTTGAAGAGAATTTTGAACGGAATTCAACGAAACTAACTTCTTACACAACAGACGTAACCTGTGTGTTGACACTGCAATAACGGTGTCATATACTTCTCGAGGGGCTACTCGCAATGATAATCCGTCTCCAAGATCCCATCATAACAACGCGTCTTGAAACCAGAGGAAAAACATAATAAACAAGGGTCTTGGCTAAAACCAGAAATCGATGTTAATGACATTAAATGTTGATGACTCACCTGTATCTCTCGGGCGTGGTATAATACAATCAGGACGAGCAGAGCCATTGTGGAAGTACTGATCAGAGCCTTGAGGATGTACGAGTAGGCGGAGTCCTGTATCAAGAAACAAAAGGAGGCAATAACATTAGTATGCCGTGTTTCTTTTTAAATGCAAGATTTAAAAGGAAAGGGCGATTTTTCAATCTAAATCTATTGTGGTAATTTTTTTTTTTGGCACCGACCCAATTAGCGAACTTTGTGTCAGATATGAGAAACATTTCGGGTTGGTGTGTTGTGAATTACGTTTTGAAGTTATTCATTTGTAATTTTAGAATGCCTCTATTTGCAATTTGCAGCAATTGAGTTATAAACACCGGGATATAGCTACAAGTTTAGGATATACAGTACGCAGCATCACATATAAGTTCTATACTTCGGTATATCAGTCTGTTAGTTGAAACATATAAGACGACGGCCGACGACCATTTGGTTGCATGATGGTTTTTAGCGCGAAATGGGAATCTTACGGTGCGCGGAAAAAGACCGGGAAATAGGCCTTCTTGAAAATGCACTCCAAACGCTTAATATTAAAGACAAGAGCTTACTTATATTTGATTTTTTTTTTTTACAATGAAACATGTTTATAGCACAGATTTCATATTGCTTGTTCTACAATATTACCCAACAGTCCTGTGGTTTTTCTTATAATATTGACTATTCTACAGGAAGTTAAGTGCCACAATGAATGTCGTCCTCGGACGTATTTACGCCCTCTACATTCCACTGGTATTGATTTTTGTCCTCCAGAATGATATGAGGGGTTTTAAAATGTGGACGACTGCAATTCTCAAGCCGCAGCGTTCCATTCGCAGTGTATCAAGGGAGAGAGAAAGTGCCGATGCATTTACGATTGCGAACGAGCATCAAACTTGGCCATAAATATTTCACATTTTTTGTCGCAATTTAATGACAGCCTCTCCACTTGACGTGCCACAACGGCCAGGATTTATTGTACAACCAACTGACAAGGTTGTTTTGATAAGATAAGCGTTGTAGATTGATTTCCCTACCGTTCGGGGGAAATATTTACCCCACCGAAGTCAGCTGGCTCGCGTCGCAATATGTACCAAGCATGCGTGTTTTATCTACAAAAGAATGAAAACTAAATATTATGGTGATAGCACTACTTTTCACAACGAGTGACACCACGAATGACAAGATGAGATACAATTCGATATTGCTTCCATCACAAAATGATTATCATTGTATTCACCCCCATTTCTTATCTGTCTAAGGATTAGAAAGTTTTCTCTCTTTTTTAATATTTTTAAAAAGAACTTTTAAATTTCCAGGACGTGCACTGTTTTTTTTTATTTGTCTTTCCTTTTTCTGTAAAGGTTTACTACTAAACAGCACGTGCTTTAATCTCTATTGTTTAAGTGTCTAAAAAAAAGTTATAGGAAACTCTCTTTTCTTCACAGTGGGTATACCTCTGCTGCATCAATGATCGTATTTGGGAGTAGATGCAGGTGTACAAGTACATTTTTTTTTTTTAAATGGAAACGTATCTTCATCACAAAAATGGCAACAGTTGACGTCTTTTTCGTTGTCTGTTCCGATGTCATGCTGGTCTGACAAAACCAACAGCCAAAACGAGGCATTACACCACACCACTCGCGCTGTAGCAAGGCCCCAAGCCCACCGCGGCTTGGCAACAATTTTTTTTTTCTCCGGGAGATATTTATTCAGCAGTTTAAATCAGCCGGCTATAAATTACCACTAGGATCCAAAATAAGGGGGATTTAGGAAGCTGATCTTGAGGGGGAGAGAGTGGGAGGGTATTATGAGGAGGGGAAAATGCAAAGAAAACAAACTCGAGGATGCGTACATTCGTGGATTAAACCAATATTTAATGGTCCGATTCTTCGAAGTGAGTCTTACAGGACTTTTTGTATTCTTTAATATGACTTAAAGGGAAAATACAACATTTGCAAACATCAAAAAATAAAACTACCAATTCATTTTGAAATACCTTGCTGGACTGTTAGTGAATGACAGTGTAAAGCATCCTGTAAAATCATGGCACCTGGTATACTGTCATTTTCAAGAAAAGTGGTATTTTTGTATCAATTTCCAACGCTGGTCGGCCGACCAGCGTTGGAAAAAACTGGCTTTTTTCAAATACTGGCCCCAATTGACCATCGCACTTGTTTGCAATCGATTACACACCTATGAACGGGTACAAGCCAGCTAGACTGGTTCCCTGACCTTACAATTCCCCAATGTATGTAAACTGCTCTGTTTCTTCTTATATGGAGTCAGGGAACCAGACTACAGGAAAATGATTGTTTTTCTTGTTTTTTTATAGTATTTTCGAACCCAAAACCTCAAAAAAGTCAGTGTAACTATATTTGCTATATATTTCCAACCCCCCAATTCCATCCATTTCTGAAAATTACAGCAAAAGCAAATGATGTATATTCCCTTTAACTATATCACTCAGTTTGATATATATGGATATTGTCTGGGTGAAAAACAACCCAGTATGTTCTCATTGATCTCTATTGTGCAACATTTATTTAAGGGCCGATATTAGTCAAAAGTATACGTGGCGTTGCGCACTGTGACTCATTTTGTGGTGTTAGGTTGCATTTGAAGTTATACTTGAGTTTGAAACAATTTGCTAAGGTGAGCATGCGACTTGTGCAAAGAACAAGCTCGAAATTATCTCGGAAGCTGCGGGCCAACGAACTCGTGTTAATGCATGAGTGACGTGATTGTGCCATGTAGTTCCTGGAAGAAGTACCGGTAAAAATGAAGTTTTTAACCCTTGTGACCCCATGATGACCTTTGCCGGTCAGTGGAGACCCATTAAAGTGACACAAAGGAGGGACAGGGCCTGAGGGACGAGTTGATATATAGCCATGCAAGGCTGCATTGGAACGTTTGTTACTAACTAACTAACTAACTAACTAACTAACGGAGAGACACGACGAGTTGCTAAGCTGCTGTCCGCAGCTATATACTGCGGTAGCTTCTCGCTTGTATGTTGGCAAGACCTATAACATTTTCAACGGAAAGGTAATAATGGTAAAGTCATTCCTTAATGGGTTTTGAGTGCTGATCATCTCCAGGGCAACATTCACGGTAGAACTCAAAAGACTTCCGGAGTAGCTCGGCGTGACCATGGAAATACACACCAACACCATACTTTCCTTGTGGTAAAAAAAAACTACCGAAGCGTGTGGCAATTAAGCGTTTGGGCGTGTTTCCAGAAGAAAATTCCGAAGGAAAAATTCCATACGACCCGTATGGTTTTGGTACGCGCGATATAAGTGAATTAAATACTCAAGTAAACACAGAATTTCAAGGGATGGTTTCAGCTCGCATATTGGTTGTGGACAAGCAAACGTAGGCCTACACTGATCGGTATGATGACATGTTACGGTTTAGTTTCTTTGTACATGAATAGAAAAATGCCTAGTTGGGCCCAGGCCCAAGGACGACAATCACAATGACCAAAGCAAAGACCATCTGGACTGTTAATCCGGACGAACAATAGTCGATAATTTGATTTTAGAGACCGTTTGGCGAACAGACTGAGACGTCAGATGAATATATTTATTAACGCCAAATCAGGGTTAATCAAAGAATACATCACCTTTTATGAGTGGTCACTGCAAAATAAATGAGTCACTGTCAATTATGGTAAAACGTTGTACGAAGTTGCTAATGTCGACCTATGTGAACACTGAACAAGGTGTTATATTCCCCTAAGTTACACTCTAATAACTATGTTTAGCCATCATACATAATCTTGCTATCACTTTGTAGAAAAACATGTCAGAAGTTAAACATGTGTCCAATTCTTAAACATCGAGTTCAATTGCTAAACACTATCCATCAATACCCTCAACATGCTTAGCATTTAAACATGTTAACAAAGTGAGCAACAAAGTGTCTAGAAAAGTGTTCAAGTGCTAGATAAAGTTTTAGCAGTGTAAAAAATATATATCTAGCAGTTTTCGTGCCTTAATTTGGTAGCCAATTCTCCATTTATAATTTTTTTTCTTACGAAAGACCTTTTCTTGTTGCAAGGAAAACTGACTAACAGTGGACGACCCCAAAAGAGGAATAAAATAAAAGCCGACTTCATTACTTAATTGCACCTGTCATTTGTATTGTTTTTCGGAACGGTAGTTTTACATAATGATAATTAAAACGTGCATCTATTGCATAGCAAACGCAGCTCTATCACTTTCCGCTTGCTTAGACCTAAAACGTGAAATCTTTACATGACTTTTGTCGTGGCTTTAACAGTAACATCAAAATAATGACCTAGAATCGAAGCATTCAACTTGTACAAGGCGGGGCATGGCCTGTACATGTACATTGCTATAAAGTCTTTTTTTTCAGGGCATTTTCTACCAACATGTCTAGAAATGTGCCACGACGTTCTGCCAGGTACGGAATGTGAAGATTTCTATTGCTGCAGCCGCCTTGACGTCGACATGACCTTAAAGGCTCGTCTATCGTGTTCCTATCACTCTCAAAAGCTCCGGGTCAGATTGACCTGGAATCAGGCTCCAATGGGGCCTGACCCCTTTTTCGGGTCAAAATGGCACTTTTCCGGGTCAAAATGGCACTTTTCTGGGTCAAAATGGCACTTTTCGTGTTAAAAATGACACATTTGATTTAGTTTTGACACGGAAAGTGTCATTTTTATCCGGTGAAAAAAAATAATTTTGACCCGGCAAAGTATCATTTTGACGCGGTAAAATGTCAGGCCCCGGATTCCGGGTCATATCTGACCCGGTACTTTTTAGAGTGTTAAACTACAATTTACAAGGAATTTGATTCATGTCATATGGCGTGTCGACATTATTCATTACTACATGGACAATAAATTATATTTGTGTACGTGTATGAAACTCAATCACTACAAGAAAAATGGTGTTTACACCATTGGCAATATAATAGTTACACAGAATATTATTTCACACTTTTTTTTTGTTCACATGATTTACGCCTAACTGTGCATGTACACTATATAATTATCGTTTGCGATCTTTGTACTACAATCAATTGCACTCACTGCATGGTGGACACTTCGA